ATCCACATCAAAGATATTCAGAGAAATGGGTAGTATTCTCCTGACAGGGGACCCAAGTTCTCTTTCTGTCCCTTTGTACCCGAAAATCGTTTTATCCTCACGAGGCTTCTCTCCTGTAAATTGAGATGGCGGAATGAGTCCATGTTTAGAGGCTTCCAGGTCTGAGTCTCCGAGAGCCTCATTAACTGAGGGTACCCTTGTCTGAAGGCACACCAGGAACTAACACTGGCTGTAAGGAGTGACTGAAGAAGAGGTGGCTGTGAGCATGCTGGATTGTTTCAGGTTGAGGTTTAGGGAGTCCTTTGCTTCTCTTTTCTCACGTCTTATTTTCTTATTGATGCTCAGAGGTGGGTAAGGAATAGAGAGGCCACCAGATCCTGAATCCTTCTGGAAGTCTAATAAGGATTGGGTGAACATAGGATCTAAAACCTTATGAGACTAAATTCACTTTTTTCTCTTTGGAACCCCAAATCACATTTTTTTCACAGTGCCCCCACTGACTCATCAGAACTGGCTACCAGCTTTGGAAATTTGTTACTTGTGTCCAAGTAAGTTATAGTAATAGATGACATTTCTTGTAAAACATTTTGGATTTGGCATAGTAAATGGCACAATTTTGCCATTTTCCAGAGGGGAACTCAATTTAGAAAATATCTCATTGTAGCAAATGCCAAAACAATGACAGGTTCTTTAGGCTGTTCCGTGCCTGTGGGATGGGGCATTATAAACAAAGTTTTGTTGGTCATCTGCAGTGAAGTATCCAGAGGAACAGGTGTTTTCTGGTCTTTATTTACTCAGGAAAGAGAAAATGTGGGTTCTGTTCTCTCACAGGGGGAAGGGGGTAAATGCTGAAAAAAAAAAAAACACACACACAAAACTGTATGGATCTTGTTGTTGCTTGATCAAGCAGCAATGACACAGAAAACAGGTTTCTTGTTCCCGGGCTGTAGGGCATGGTTTTTAACCAATATACTCTGACAACCTGCCCAGTCAGTGCAGTGTTTCTTCTCTAGTTCAGATGGGCTAAGAATGAGAACTCTCCCTGCACTGTCCCAGTTGTCGCTGATAGGAATTATTAGAATGGGATTTAAGAACAGCCATATTCATATTTTCTTGAGTCGATAAAATTTCGGAGCCAGACACCTACTTTATGTAAGCTTGACGAATGGCAAAATTTGATAAATTCTGTAGCCTAGTGAGTTTTCTAGCTAAATTTCATTTATTTCTTAACTTTACTTTTTATGAGGCAAAAAGAAATTTCTGAAAGCCTCTCTACCCTCAAAATATTTCTCATTGAAATGGCAACCGTGGTGGTTCACAGAAGCTTCACAGGATGGGGAGCGCTTAAGGTGCATCTGCCAACAGCCCACACCTCACTCTAACAGAACAGCGAGTTTCAGTGCTGGGGAAGAACTCACAGTCATATGACCCAGTGTTTCACTTAGGTTTGTCTTCGAGGAAACTCAGAATTTGCCCTCTCCAATAATAGCGATGAATTTGGTTAATACCTAGGAACTACTTGTTCGCTCTTTTCAAGTGGCTTTACCTTTAAATAAATTCTTAAAAGGCACCTCAAATCTCATCGATGAAGGTATATAGAAAATAAAACCAGCATTCCTCTAACCAAGTTGCCTTGTTCCTTCCTCACTTCAGGCTCACCACTGCTTTGGGCTGGGGGGCTAGGGACAGTTGTGACACCCAAGTTTCACCCACAATGACTAGCCCTGAGCAGATCTGGCTGAGAGGACGGTCTAGTCATTTATAAATGAAATGTGAACTGGATGGCTATCCCAAAGGCTTTATCTTATACCTTTATATTAATTACCTATTGCTGCATAACAAATTACCCACAATTGAGTGGCTCTAAAACATTTGTTTCTGTGGGTTAGGAATCCGGCAAGTCTTAGCCAATTGTCTCTGCCTCGTTTTCTCACAGGGCTATTAAGGCGTTGGATCTGCTTCCAAGATCAGTGGTTGTCTGCAGGATTCCGTTTCTCCCAGGTTGTTGTACTGAGGGCCCAGGTCTCCCCACAGGTATATTCACACGGCAGCTTGCTTCCCCAGAGCAAAGGTGGGTACACAGAAGCCACAGCCCTTTTGTGACCCCGTCTCAGAAATGACATCCAGTTGTCTGTCTTAATCTGATAGAACAATCACGAAGTCCAGTCCACATTCAAGGCAAGGAGATTAGGCAAGTTGTGTGATTATCGGGTGGGTGGGAATCATTGGAGTCCTTTTAAAAGTTCTTTCATAGTTACTCCTAATTGCTGAAACGGGCATTTACCGGAATGCTTTATTGGAATCGATTAGATTCTAGTAACTTTATGTGCTGATGGATATGTTTATTTTGTAATAAAATAAGTTGCTGAAGATGAAGGTCCCTAACCCTCAAAACTCATCTATCTAACCTCGCGGACTTAAAGTAAGGTCCATTAATTTCCAACATTGCCATACTTTCCTCTATATTTAGTAAATCCAAAGCTACCCGTGCAATATCTTGGGGGCTTAAGTTCTAAGAATATAGCTCAAATAGGTAGCAGATGCACTTCCTTAACACAATCCAGTTCTGTCAATTGGAGGGCAAGGCTTGTTATATTAAAATGGGCAAAAGCTAGACGTGAATTAGGGACGAGAGATTATGATAAAAAGTGAACTTGGGAGGACATCAAATCAAATCAATTACCTATGTATTAAAAACGCTCCTCCCTTGGTCCCTCTTTTCTCTGTCCCTGTCCCCCTCTGAGTCTGTCTCCGAGAGGAGACTACGCTATGGAACATTATCCCATGTCTAATAAACTTTCCTTTTGACTTTAAAAAAACCATCCTCCGTTTATAAGGAATGGTGCAGTCAGTAACAGAACTAGGTACTAATGTAAACTTGCTTAGTTAAAACTTCTAAACACTTAACATCATATCTCAAATTTTCTGGTTTCTAAACTGGGATATTTCTGGATCACAAGGACTTGGTGTGGATTAATATTTGTGCAAGGACTTAAAAACAAATGCATATCACACATTTAGTTTTTTAATTCCAACTTTTAAAAACAAGACTTCAGTGACAAAAACCAAAATTCTTCAGGTCTCAAGGTCCATATATTACTTTTACATACTGTTTTGAAAGTTTTGAAAGCTGTACGTTAACAATGCCTTGCTAATTCTAAAGGCACCAAATTGGTGGCAAAACACAAAGGACTACTCGAACTTCTCTGGTGTCATAAGGCCTTATTTTGGGAGCAAATTAAGTTCAGATTCTATCACCAATAAATCACTTTTCTATGATACAAACAGTCTAAGAGCAAATCACTTTCCTCATAAGGCCAAACTGGAAGACTGCAGGTTTCAAAATAAAGAATGGGCAGTAATAAAATCCATCTGAAACCTGGGCCTGTTCTGGAGTTCCCTGTGGACACTCAGGGCAAATGAAGGGTTAAAGGTGGGTTATACCTTTGCCCCAGTGCACTGGTTCTTTTGAGATAGCTGAGCATTCCTACAACAAGCACCGAAGTTTTCCAAAACCCTGGGAGTTCTTGGTACAAATAGTTAACACAAGGCTTAGTGCAACTGCCTAGATGGGTCAGTCTGATGAACATATTGGTTTGATAAATCCCAATTTAATTTTTTTAGATTGTTTTTTAAGACAGGTTACATTCTGGTCAACACTACAGTATGAATACACTACAAATTAACTAGAACAGTTTATGTAGTTCAGGAGCAGGGAAGGACTTTCTATGAGTAACACTAAAAAATATCACAAATGAAAATGAAAGGCAAATTAAAACCTGGAAAAGTATGTGATAGCAAAAATACAAAAATCTATTACCTTTAATATATAACAAATCCTTACCAAGTCATCAAATAAGGAAGCACACCAAATGAAAGGTGGGTAATATAGGTAAATGACCAAAAAAATAAAAATGGGCAATAAAACCCAGGAACAAGTTTCTGACTTCACTAGTTACCCAATATGCAAATTAAAACAAGATACTCCCCTTTTTTTGGGCAAACTATTAGGAATAAAATGAATGAGATTACAACAGATCCATTCAAGTACTCTTGGTCACAGCCAAACAGTCCAAACTGTTCTCCACATAAGTTAGGCAACATTTATTAAAAACCTTAAAAATGTGCTTACTCTCTGGCCCAGCCATTTGATTTCTAAGAATTTATCCTAAGGAGTGAATGAGACAAGTGTATGAAAACTTGTGCACAAGTATTCATCATACCACAGTGCCTTCGTCAGAGTTCACAAATCTTTGGCATTTTGTATATAATATGATTATAACCTGAGGGGGGAAATCATACCACAAATATTTTGGGGAAAAGGCTATCAGATGTAGGAAATAACAATTTTCTTAGAATTTCCCAAAATGTACTTTGTTAGTCCCACTCCACCCCCAATTTAAAGCAGAAGCAAAGCTACAAACCTGACAAAGCAGCATGTGTTCAAGTTATAGTTTCACAGCATACTGAAGTTAAAGGGCACACGCACTGACCCATCCTTTCCTCGACTCAGAAGCCTGGGTCAGACCAACTTCGGCAACAAACGAACACAAGTCTTCTGGAAACATGTAGGTTATTAAATTATTTATTGTATTGCAATTACAAAGAAAACAGACAATGCACCCAGTAGAAAGAATAAAAATGTATTCAGGGTTTTATTTTTAACTGACAGCAAATAGAAATCCTTTAGTGAGATCATGGCAATCTGATAGTATGATTAAGTTCAGTAAAGGTACATAGGGTACTTGGAAGATCAAATTCTACAGCTGCCTCTTTCCACAGCTTCTAATTCATCTGGCTCCTTAAATGAAAGGGGGAAAAGCCCTTATTTGGTGCGGGAAACATTTCCAAAATGAAATTATAGGTTCTCTCTTACTAAAATTTCATGTCAATTGTTAAAATGGGGCCTTCTTTTGTTTTTTGTTATTTTTCTGGAAACATGTAGGTTATTAAATTATTTATTGTATTGCAATTACAAAGAAAACAGACAATGCACCCAGTAGAAAGAATAAAAATGTATTCAGGGTTTTATTTTTAACTGACAGCAAATAGAAATCCTTTAGTGAGATCATGGCAATCTGATAGTATTATGATTAAGTTCAGTAAAGGTACATGGGGTACTTGGAAGATCAAATTCTACAGCTGCCTCTTTCCACAGCTTCTAATTCATCTGGCTCCTTAAATGAAAGGGGGAAAAGCCCTTATTTGGTGCGGGAAACATTTCCAAAATGAAATTATAGGTTCTAAATTACTAAAATTTCATGTCAATTGTTAAAATGGGGCCTTCTTTTGTTTTTTGTTATTTCACCTTAATATCACCACCAGAATTCCTGTAATTCCACAATTGTGATTTTTACAGTGTAGAAAAGAATTCAGTTCTAGTCTGCTATTGCTTTAGATATATGTTATCGCTGAAAACCCAAAGTGGATTAGAATTGCTGAAGGATTTTCCCTGCCGTTGTTTGATACAATCTATTCTCTTTATTCCTGATAGGTGCATAGACAGCCTCACTTAAAATTCTTTCTACAGGAACATGTCTGATTTCAGGACTACCCAATCAAGGATCCGATGAATGGCTGGTCATAGTTACTCAGGGTAATGTTTATGAGTTAAATGGATTGCATAATTGCACCACTTTTTCCTTCGTCATTGTTGATGGATAAATGACAATCTAGATTCCAATTTCCCGTATAGAAAGCTGGCTACCCAATAGTCTCATCGGTAGCTTTGCTAGTAGAGCCTCAAGTTGCACCTCCTTGGCTTTCTGTAAATCAGAGTCCTGCAGCCACTTCTGGAGAATGCTGTAATCCCAAAGGCCCACTTGGTCCATGCTGAAGCAGCGGTGACCTCAATCCTGCCCCTCTTTTGCTTTTCAGTATGATCCGAGGAATATGCAATGTTTAGGGCAAGTCTAGGAGAGGCCCATCCTAAAATAAGATTCACAAAGCCTTTCTCATTAAAAAAAAGAAAGAAAGAAAGAAAAAAGCCTCAAGTACATCTCAATCATCTCAAAATTGCAGTTAAAAAAAAACTTACATTATACAAGGAAATAGCAGCAGAGAATGGCTAATCTTCAATAACCAACCAACCAAAACAAAAAACAAAAAACAAAAACAACAAAAACCCACCAAGCCCTCAAAATAAACAGTGAAAAAAGTGCCATCCCACCCCTCCCCTTGGTTCTTTTATCTTGGGATTTCAATTAAGACCTGAAGCCTCTGAGAAAATGAGAAAGGCAAGGCCACAGAGGGAAACTTCTTCAAGGCTAAATTTTGGACAAGGTAAAGTAAAAGCTGTAAATAAAAGTTAAGGGACTGTTTGGAAAAGAATCAAGAACTCTAGGATATTTTCTTCTTAGATGGGATATCTGTAAAATCCAGATCACCTTTCTAGAGTCATCTTGAATTCTTTAGTTATGGGGCAATAAACTCAAGTGCAATGAGTAAAGTGCCAGCCAGGGATTAAAAACAAAACAAAACCCCCAAAACACAAACAGCCAATCATAATAATTCTGCTGTTAGGGTAACAGAATACACACAGAAGAAGACTGTTTGCAGAACATCTGTGATTCTGAAGAAATTCCTAGTCAGTGGTTCTGTTTTTGTTTTCATCAAAAATCAGACTGAAGATTCAAGGATCTTAGAGTTATTAAAGGATGAAAAGAATATGACAGTGCTTTGAACAGTGATAAAATGGTACCCAAATTTGGTGTTTATGCAGCTCATTTAAAAAGACAGTAGCTTAAAAGTCGCAGGAGAAAATATGAACATAAACAACAGAAACAATCCAGGAAGGTGATGCAGCCTGGATACAGCAAGTTTAATGTCTCTGCTGTACAGAGAAGTAAAACCCTTCTCCCCCTTCTCACCCTTCTGCTGGCAATAGGATATGCGCTAGAAAATTTGACTCTTAGAGTCAATGAATAAAAGGATGAGCTCATATATCTTCATAGCTCTTTTAAAAAAGGCTGCTTATAATTTAAAGGATGTCCTAATGGAAAGACAAGGGTACAGGGTGAGAGGCTGTTTCACATTTTAGTCCATTAGTCTTTGGCAAAGCCCAATCAAGGCCAAATTCACCTAGGATGCCCAATGGCTGTGGGAGAATCTCCACAGGGTCAAGTAAGCAAACCCAAATGAACATGTTGGATTAAAAAAAAACAAACAAAAAAAACACCTAGAAACCCTTGAAGGAAGAGCTTCATCCTGAAAAGGGAAGAGGGAAGTGCTAGGAGAGGAAGGGTGGAGGGCCTGCGGGTACGCTCTGCTGCGGTGCTGGCTAGACTTAGGAGTTGAGCCAAGGGTGCCGGAGACAATCAGCAGCAGTGGCTCTCTTCTCGGGGACCAGCTCCAGCATGGGAAGCAAGAAATCCGTGAAGCCAGCTGCTTCTTCCTGAGACCACTCGTACTTCTCCACCAGAACCTCAAAAAGGCCCCAGGGCTTCAGCTTTGTGATGTGTTTCAGGTCACCTAGGGTAAAAACAATACAAAAGAAACTGACCAACATCGACAAGTGACAAAATTCTTCTGTGGAAATCCAGGAACTAATCCAGGTACTCTATAAAGAATCAGATTTCGCCATCAGAATCTAATCATCCATTCGAAAAGCACTTCTCTTCTCTAATCCATTCCTTGGAAAGAACTGTCTCCATTTTTTATGAGGGTCTAAAAATTTAAGAAAAGTTGTTTGTTTCACCATTCTGGGATTTTAGTCCCAGTCAAATTGGGTAGGCCTCTCAGGAACTAGGTATTCATTAAAATGAATATTAAATGCCTATGTACTCAACGTGGTTTCATATGGTGGTCAGAGACAGCTTATAACCATATACCAAGAACAATTTGCTTATACTTTATTTTTTTGGCTTGATAGTCTAGTAGATGTTACTTCAAAATTGGCAGTAATTTAAAAATAGAAAGCTAAAACCATGTCAAAGATGTATAAAAGCAACAAAACTAAAAGAATAAATTCCATATAGCTTTCAGATACAGCTGTATCACCTCTGAACTATTCTGGAACGTCAATCTATTTTTTGCTTTTGTGATGTATAATTTCTTAAAAAGACAGTCAATTATCAGTGGCTTATTAAGTAAATGCCATAAAAATTCTTCTTATACAACACTTATCTGATGTTTCTTCCGTGGGAAGTGAATATCTATTTAATTGTCTACTTGGTACACACATGCCATTAATCTGACTTTGCACTCAAGGAGGAACTCTTATGGGGCACTTCACACTTTCCTGCCCCAAAGAGGAACATTGAGAAATGTTTCTGAGTATGCTTGCTATCGATGTTGGGAAAAATGATTTTTCTCAGCACTAATGTACCAGATGTGAAGAAAAAAGGAACCATGCCAAAAAGGGGAAAAATAGCCAGATAGTTTTCTAATCCCTTCTACATCAAGTTTTCACATTTCAACTTTTAAATTTTATTTGCAATGCACAAGAAATACATATTTAAATATGCCAACATATATGAAGTCAAAAATTTGAGGTGAGAGTTTTATCTTTGTTTCCTTTACGAATAAGTGATAACATAAGCTTATGAAACTATAGAGCATAAAGCTAATTCATATGACTATGCTAGGTGTCAATAGGCTATAAGGTGAGTGACATTTAATACTGCCTTTAAGCTTAAAAAAAAAAACAACTTGCCCTTTGATAGATGCAGTTCTTAGGCCAAATGCTAGCAAAAATTTGCCCATTTTTCAGAAGTGATGTATAGTAGTAATCAACCAACTTTATGCTAGTCTCTATACGAATAGTAACTAATTTAATAGGAAGTAAACATTATCTCAATTTAGAAATCAGCAAACTGAGGCCACATAACTAGTGGAGAGGCTAGGATTTGAACCCAGAGGATCTGGCTTCAGTTTCTGATCGTGACCATACTGTTTCACCCCTCTGCTAAGTAACCTCAGCATTCAAAGTAGGATCATCCTTCTGTAGGTGCCAGGAACATGTACTCAGCTGTACTTACCTCTTAAGTTTTAAACATTTTTGTTCCCTTAATGTCTGGGAACAAACACATCTATTTTACCTTTTTTGGTGAAAAATTCCTTGGAATATTTTCCTGCCACAATGAGCTTGCGAGGCACCTTCCCCAGAAGTTCTATGATCAGTGCAATGTGATCTGTATGTTTCAAACATTTCAAAAGGGGGAAAAAAAGACATACATAATAGGAGTAACAAATCCAGTTCTAGACATTAGCAGAAAGAGTAGCATGCACACCTCTTTGTCAAACATTTCAGGCTTGCTTTCTATCCTAAATGGGGTAGAGGACTCTATCCATCTAATGGAGAATCCAGAAAACCATAAAAAATCAGGGGCCCACTCCAGTGGGACCTGAGTGATAAGTAAAAACAATCTTGGTGTGAATGCTCTGCTTCCTGAAGTTGTATCCTTGGGGCCTAGATGAAAACTCATGTTAACAATACTACCTCTGCGATTGAAGAAGTCCTGTGAGTATTTCCCACTGAGGGCAAAGCGTCTTGGAATTCTGCCTATCAGCTCTATAATGTGCGCAATGTGGTCTAAAATAGAAGGGTAAGAAGAACAGGATCAAGGATAAGCTGTAAAAGAAGTTTTTCTATGAATAGCTTTTTCAAAGACTAGCTGTTTAAAAGTTACTACAAATAAAACCAAGGATACTTAAGGGGAGACTGGGAAAGCCAAGAATTATTTCAGGTGGTTGTCACCTGACAGTAGCTGGCATGTCCCATACTGGAGTTTGGAGCCTTATCTACACCTTTATTTCTATTTTGTCGATATACCTAAGTTCAGGTGGGTTTTTTAGGTAAGGTATCAATATGCTTTAGACAATCCAGAGCTGTTATTTATTTAAATACTACTCTGGGCTTCAATCAGTAAAATATTACTTTATTTAAAAATATTCATGATGATTAAAGCACTAACATGATTATTTGAGTTTTCAAAATCACTCTGTGAAACAGGCCAAAGATTAATATGCCATTTTAAAGATGAGAAAATGGAATCTTAGAGAGAATGGCCTACTTGAAGCTACAGAGCTAAAAAGAGGTAGAATGAGAATGAAAACTCACATCTTATGTCTAGTCAAGAACTGCATTTTTTTTTTTTTTTAAATAAATCACACCTTTAAGTTAAACTTAGCACAAACATTTTCAAGCATACCTATTTGACTATTTGCAGGCCACTGAAAGTCATGTAGTGCCCTGTAACTGTCACAGTATGAACATGGACTGTGAACACTGACAGAAAGGTGTGCAGTCTGTCACCAAGACGTGAGCTTGAGACCAGCCAGTATCCACACTTACAGGCAGCTCTACTACCTTTTTCACTCTGCAGGTGACAGAAACTACGAATGTGAAGAGGGTTTGAAAGTGATGGCTCCTAGCCACAAGAGCTTTATAAATGAGTTTAGTCCTACAGTTACAGAAATCACCAATGTCAAAAGCAATCATTTAAAACCTCCAATAATGTATCATCTAGGGGAATAATATGCTAGAGACAGCCATATATCTGGGAATTTGTGAAGGTTTCAGATCATATCTGTTTTTCATGTAAAGGACTCTCACTGGTGTCATTTTAAAGGGGTTTTATATTCACCAATTCACTATAACCTTTGGGCAGTTTTGACTGAATTTATGGCTTGGTAACAAATACTTGGCTGCCAACAAACTTCTGCTGATTTTAGGCAGGACCTGCAAATAAATGTCTTTGTATAAGTTAACTGTGAGGCAACAGTTTAACTTATTGTAAACTTCCAAGTGTAATGTATAATACTGGTTCTTTTAATATTTTTCCTATATCGAGGAATTATTTTTCCCTTGAAATTCTTATTTTATATTTAATTCCAACAACCTATTCTGGCTTATCAATTAATTATAGGATTGATATATTTGGTAGGCAAAATTATCAAGTATTATTTCAAGAGTTAGGGCTGTGGAATGTCAACAGTAACAGAGGACATGGTACTGAGGCCTCTGTCCCTACCACACTTGTAACAAGTTGCATACACTAGTCAGGGGATAAAGGTTTGCTTTTTCTTGCTCTTATGGGCCAAACTGTAGTTTGAGGTTTCATCTAAGAACTGTTAGTATTGATTGGTACAGGAAGGAATAAATTAGGACCTAAATATCTAGGGTAGATGGCTCCCTCTTGTCATATACATTTCAGTTTTCAGGTTTGGTAGCATAAGATCCTACACAATATAATTCTAGACACTGTATGTGTTCCATACCACAATATATTCATAGGGAGTCTAGGGAAGTAAAGGGAAAAAAATTAATTACCTTCCCAAACAGATATAGTAGGGCATTTCTAAAATAAAATGTGTATCTATAACCCCAAACTTATAACACAGAAAAAAGCAAGAGAGAACAGGGAAAATGACGTGTTTATACACAGGTAGTATACAGAATATTCTTACACGGAGCTTATGTACAGAAAACATGTCCAAAATGTACCAATTAAAATAGGCATTTGGCTATGGGAGTTAACATAGCATTTTTCAAATAGTATGTGTTAGGAATATCAGCAGACCCTACTAACACTGCCTATTAATATAACCCAGGGGACCACAGTTTGAGAAATAGAGAATATTCTTGTTTCTAGAGCACAAAACCTGATTTCCCAAAGTACTGAGGACATATTTTAGTAAAGAACATATTTTCTGCATTGGGAGGGTATATTGTTACTGCTTTCAAAGTAATTTTTATTACTTCTGAAAACAAAAGCTGTCTAAACTGTATAATAAAGAAGGTAAAACATTTCTTTCATAGCTTTTTTCATTCACATTATTATTTCATCTAGTTATCTAGATGCTACCACAATAGAAAGAAATCCCCCCACACATTCAGTCATGTTTTCACAGCCTGTCAGACAAAGCAGCTGTAAGCTTGGGCTTTTCCCACTGGCTACCACAAAATATAAATCAATAAATTTTGTTTTAAAATGGAATTTTGAATGTGTGATTTAAAAAGAAAAAAACATGGCTTTACTTTTCAGAAATGAGAAAAAAGAATGCTAATTGTAAAATTTATATAGACAAATAGGATGCAGTTTCTGTATTCAAGTAGCGTGTCTGTATTAAAATTATTGACTTCCAAATAAAGTTGGAGGCATAACTGAGCAACAAGTTGATGAACCGATAGATTCAGACTCGGTAAAGACTAATTTATATAGATAGGAAGATAACGAGCTGTTTTAGAAGAATGAAAATTTTAGTTTAATCAATTGTAGCCTTTTCTCTAATCCTTATATAGAGTTCCTTAATATATATTATAAAAGATCTAGAATATCTAATACCTACTATAAAACATCTTATATTTCTATCTTTTTCGAGATTTATATATACTCAGCACAATAAAAAGACTAAGGCTCTTCAAATGACATTAGCCACATGTAAAAAGTATAACTACCATGCACAGACATTCTCATTTAAGGAGACTCACCTTCATCTCGAGTGTACTCTTCCCCCGAATGAGGTTCAAACAAATAGTCACCTGTGGCTAGTTCAAAGGCCTAAGAAAAAGAGGACAGCATATAAAAGCATTTAAAAAAAGAAGAAGAAGAAGAAAAAGAATAAAGAAAAAAGAGAACAGAAAAAAAAGGAGGCTTTTGGGAAGCTTACTATTTGGCTCCATATTATATAATTTTTCTTCTTGGAAAAACCTGCAGATGATTATTAAAAAAAAAAATCTAAGATTGTTCCTAAAGATCTTTTCTTCCACATTGTATCTTAATCAAATGGAAGAGGAAAACTATAAAAACTCAAGTTAATATCAACATGTGGATTATTCCATGCCTCCCACCTCAAATCAGTAACACAGCTCTCTTGAGTCTTCCTTTCTGCTCCGATAGGGGCATATCTGTATATTCAGGTGATTCTAAGTTATTAAATTTTCATAAGAAGAGGTCTTATTTTCTTACGTTATAATTTCATATGGCTAGAAATTGAGATTTTGCACCCAAAACTTAAACCAAAAAATTCAGACATTTCTCTACCTATGATGACTCTTTATTGTTTGGCAAAAGCACATTTTAGAATTTTGCTTTGGAAAGCACTCCCTAAACTATTCTGGATAGAGAGTTCCCATTTCCTAGTCCTACAGAAAATGAGAAAAAGATTAAACATAAATGGAGTCAGGAGTCACTCATATTCTATGTGACCATCAGGTTAGCATTTACCAAGCAGGAAGAGAAAAGCACATGCCTCCCACAAGAAACCTCTTATAAACAGTTGTAAGAGTGTCAGAAAAAGTGATTTTCTTTGGAATAAATGTCAAGCAGGATGAAAAGACAAGATCTAAGTCATGAAACTATATTAATTTTTCATTGATTAAAATGGATTAAAAAAACAATAGAATAGTTTTAAAAGGCCTTATTGATATAAAAGTACAGGGATACGCCAAGTGCTGGTCATGGGTCAGTTTTGATTGAATTGCTGTTACTTGGTAGTCTAGGTAATTGGAAGAACTGTGGGGTGGATTTATTGGGGCATATTCTCAATTTAGACCCAGGTTGAGGTTTCAGTGGCTTGCCAGTCTCAGTTTCTGCAATTTCACATGACATGACAGCCTTTCTCAAACTGTATTATCCAGGACTAGAGCAAAACCACAAAATCAGAAGTTTTAGGATTGCCTCTAAAATGTCAGGGATGCTATGGCTTCTTGCTACGCATAGTTTGTTTTACATTCCAGCAGTTCATTATGAAACTGAACCACACCGGTAAGAGCAGACACTTATTCTACCCTCTAATTATCCTGAGGTTTATAGTCCCAAAGCAGAACAGAAACAAACTGATTCTTATTCATCAAAATTTGTTAACATCTTCTGAAATCAGTACTTTAATTTTTCAAAGTCTCATAGTGGGAGTTCAGTCAGTAAAGATATTGAAATTGAAGTTTTTTTTCAAAAAAAAGAAAATTTTCTAAAACTTAAATTTAAGAGCCCATCCTACAATCCAGGGTTCCTGATTCCCACTCCGATCCTTGTCTCACACTGACCACAGAGCCTATTCTATGTCAGTCAGGATCACAGTGACAGACACAGGCAAAATCAGTTATAAAATCCAGTGTGCTGGTACATCTCGACAATGGAATTATTCAGCTAATCAAGTCATAAAAAGACATGGAGGAACTTTAAATGATTATTACAAAGGGAAAGAAGCCACCCTAGAAAGCTACATGCTGTATGATTCCAACTATGTGACATTCTGGAAAACTATAGAGATAAAAGAAAACAGTGCTAGATAGGAATTGAAGGGAGGAAGGAATGGATGAATAGGTGAAGCAGAGAAGATTTTTAGGACAGTATAACTTTAATATGATACTATAATGGTAGATACAGGTCATTATACATTTGTCAAAATCCACAGAATGTTTGGAAATTTATAAAACATCTATTCTTTAATTCTTAAATGTTCTTCACAGAACATTCCCTTTATATACTGCCCTTCTACACTTTGTAATCTCAATCATCAATGGACCAGTCAATCTTACAACTGTCTCTTTACCTCTCAGAAAGGGTCCCAATTTTTCTATCAATTAATTGCACTGGATGCAGGATAATCCATCTCTCCACGCACTTCTGATATTTCAGAATTTATTTTTACTCTCTGAGTACGGCCATTTAAAAGCAACATTTCTACATCTATCAGTAAAATGAAAGACTTCTGGGGGGGACAAATGGGGTTCAAGTTCTCGCGATACTGTCTCATATCAAATAAGTACTTTCCCTCCCTTGGTCAAAAAATTCCTGCATGTGATCTGGTCCCAAAAGGAGGCAAGGTTAATTCCTCTTTCATCTTTTTTTTTGCCTTAACTATGTTAAATAGCAAGCAGAATTTTTGCCCTCAAACAATTAAGCCACTATTAAGAACAACATCATATTAAATAAGATGCCATCTAAATACTAGCTATTTTTTATTGTTGGTTGTATTGTATCACTTATTTTCTCTAGCAAATCAATTCAAATGAAATTCCTCAAAATCAAAGCTTTAAAGTATAACAAAAGGTCATACTCTATTCAAAGTCCTTTCACCTTGTGTGCACAATACCAAATGTGACTTTATTTCAGACAGACCTCCACCTTAAAAACCATTGATATGCCATAACAAAAGGATTTATAAAGTCATGCCATATTAACAACATGTTAACTCTATTATCTTTGGAAGACGTTTTTCAGGAATGTTCAGTTAGATCAATAAGAAAGAAAGTCAACAAGGGAACATCAGCCGTAAAGGACACATTAAATTGACTTAACAGATATATACAGAACATCCTATCCAAAAGCAACAAAATATACATTCTTCTCAAGTGCACATGGAACATTCTCAAGGATAGACACAAGTCTTAATTAATTTAAGAACAACATAGCAAGCAGCTTTTCTAACCACAATGGCATAAAAATTATAAATCAACTACAAGAAAGCTAGAAAAAAAAAATCACAACTATGTGGAGATTAAACAACATACTACTGAATAATTGGAGCAACAAAAAAAAAAAATCAAGAAATACATAGAGGCAAATGATCAATACATGGAGGCATAATCAAGAAATACATGGAGGCAAATGAAAACATAACTACAACATACCAAAATCTATGGAATATGGAGCAAAAGAAGTATTAAAAAGAGAAGTTGATAGCAGTACAGGTATACTTTGGAGATATTGCCGGTTCAGTTTCAGACCACCACAATAAAGTGAGTTGTAACCTTTTTGCTGGTGGAGGGTGTTGCCTTCAATTTGTAAAAAATGCAACATCTGTGAAGCACAAAAAAATGAAGTATAGGCCTACCTCATGAAACAAAAAAAAAATATCAATCTAACCCTACATCCAAAGGAACTAGAAAAGAACAAAATGAAACCCAAAATCAGTAGAAGGAAGAAAAAAATCAGAACAGAAATAAATGAAAGAAAGACTAAAAAGACAATAGAAAAGATCAATAAAAAAAGAAAATTTTCTAAAACTTAAATTTAAGAGCCCATCCTACAATCCAGGGTTCCTGATTCCCACTCCGATCCTTGTCTCACACTGACCACAGAGCCTATTCTATGTCAGTCAGGATCACAGTGACAGACACAGGCAAAATCAGTTATAAAATCCAGTGTGCTGGTACATCTCGACAATGGAATTATTCAGCTAATCAAGTCATAAAAAGACATGGAGGAACTTTAAATGATTATTACAAAGGGAAAGAAGCCACCCTAGAAAGCTACATGCTGTATGATTCCAACTATGTGACATTCTGGAAAACTATAGAGATAAAAGAAAACAGTGCTAGATAGGAATTGAAGGGAGGAAGGAATGGATGAATAGGTGAAGCAGAGAAGATTTTTAGGACAGTATAACTTTAATATGATACTATAATGGTAGATACAGGTCATTATACATTTGTCAAAATCCACAGAATGTTTGGAAATTTATAAAACATCTATTCTTTAATTCTTAAATGTTCTTCACAGAACATTCCCTTTATATACTGCCCTTCTACACTTTGTAATCTCAATCATCAATGGACCAGTCAATCTTACAACTGTCTCTTTACCTCTCAGAAAGGGTCCCAATTTTTCTATCAATTAATTGCACTGGATGCAGGATAATCCATCTCTCCACGCACTTCTGATATTTCAGAATTTATTTTTACTCTCTGAGTACGGCCATTTAAAGCAACATTTCTACATCTATCAGTAAAATGAAAGACTTTTGGGGGGGACAAATGGGGTTCAAGTTCTCGCGATACTGTCTCATATCAAATAAGTACTTTCCCTCCCTTGGTCAAAAAATTCCTGCATGTGAGCTGGTCCCAAAAGGAGGCAAGGTTAATTCCTCTTTCATCTTTTTTTTGCCTTAACTATGTTAAATAGCAAGCAGAATTTTTGCCCTCAAACAATTAAGCCACTATTAAGAACAACATCATATTAAATAAGATGTCATCTAAATATAGCTATTTTTTATTGTTGGTTGTATTGTATCACTTATTTTCTCTAGCAAATCAATTCAAATGAAATTCCTCAAAATCAAAGCTTTAAAGTATAACAAAAGGTCATACTCTATTCAAAGTCCTTTCACCTTGTGTGCACAATACCAAATGTGACTTTATTTCAGACAGACCTCCACCTTAAAAACCATTGATATGCCATAACAAAAGGATTTATAAAGTCATGCCATATTAACAACATGTTAACTCTATTATCTTTGGAAGACGTTTTTCAGGAATGTTCAGTCAAGAAATCTATGACTAAAACAGTAGAGGTTACTATAGTCTGTCCTACCTTTTCAAGTGTTCTCCAGAATTGACTGTGAATACTAAATGTTAACTAAAATGATAGTTTAAGATATGTAACTCACTCTTTTGATGGTCCACAAATATTTATTAAGTACTGTTGTATGATAAAGAATTTCTTTGGTCTTTATTCTTGTATTCTGGGAGGGAGCCTCTAAACTGTAAATTTCCAAGTGATAAAAAGTGCCTTTTGTTATTCAGTGGGCCCTGGGCCACACTTAAATTTGTACTAATAAGGTGACTCATGATGAGCCTGAGTTTTATGAGGCATTCTAGCAAATTACTAAATCTGAAAGGATAGTGGAACCCCTCAATTTGTAGACAGCTGGTCAAATGTGTAGGTGGCCTGTGGACCTAAGAGTTTGTGGCTTATGTCTGAATTGAGGGGATCCTTGTGGGAAATCATGCCTTTACCATGAAGTTTGTGATAACTCTAGGTAGTTAGCATCAGAACTATACTGTGAACACCAACTCAAAATGAGCCTGGGCCTGAACCAGACATTTAGCTATACATAATAAACATGATTCCTGTCAGCATAGCACTTACGGCCTAGTGGAAGAGAAATAAGCAAACAACCACAAAATTACAAGTAAAGAGATATACTCCATTTCAGAAAACAATATAACATGATCCAACATGGGGAATCATTTAATATCAACTAACTCTGACCACCTGAGTAGTTGCTGGCCAGGGACAAAGCAGGAACTTATGAATCTACTGATGATTGAATTTCACATCTTATAAGATATCTGAGTAACTGCCGAACTGAAAAATCTGAAAATAGATCAGAGCCGAAAAAGCAAGGGGTACTTGTAACCTCCTAATCAAAACTAACAATTTGGAGCAGTTGTTTTTAATCCATCTCTCCCCACCCACCTGCCCAAATCTGTAGTAAGAAACATTTGGTTCCTTCATCTAACAGGAATTTGGCAGGAATAAAATGAAATGCTAGATATTTGTAACTAGCTTTTGAATTCGGATCTCTCCAGACACAGGATTTAGAGTCAGTGATAAGTCACACAAAAAATTTTTTTGATTGTTAATTTGCTGGTCTATTGAAATTAGCAAACAGGGCAAGGTATGTTACCACCAAATAACAAGTGAAGGTCAAGGGAGAAAAACATTACCATGCATGCCGTGCTCCAAATGTCAGCAGGGGTATTATACCCAGATCCTATCAGAACTTCCAAGGAGCGATACTGCCTTGTTTGAATATCTTCGGTGAAATGTTTGTGCTGAGTAAATGGAGAAGAAAACAGCATTTTAAAATTCATTTATTCTAAAAAGTAACAAGTCATGACTGCTTACTAATGAAGACTAAAATAATTTCTCTGAAGCTTTCTCCAAACCAAAGTTTTAGGTTAGCTAATTTCTTAAATATTATTTTGATGCTGTTAGCTCCAAACAGCACTTTGCTTTACAGTCTACTCCAAATTAGTTTTGCAAACATATGAATTTTAACTTAATATAAATATACAGATTAGAGAATAACTATTTTTTTAAGAGGTAGGTTTCAAGTTTCAAGGACCGTATAAATAGCATTTATAAAGAATCCATAACATCCGCATCATAGCAAAGTGAGACACACCCTTTGACTCCTTCAATCTACAACTAGTGGAACATCTGTAACTCAACAGATTGCTCTGATTGACACACTGGGAAGCCTGAGAGATCCACACATCTGTACATCTGAAGGTGGGTGGATGGGAATGCAAGGAATGGTGGAACTGGGGGAACAGCAGGGACGATACTTGGGACCTGGTCTAGAGGTGGCAGCTAAGCTCGAAGCCCCAGTGAACATGGCAGCAGTAAAGGAGAAGGGAAAGGCTCGTGACTCTGGTCCCCACCCCTCAACAAAGAAAAAGGCAAGCAGCAGCACAGGCACGAGCAACTCTGGCTCCTTCCCCTGGCTGTGGTGGAGCCTGAGACTCAAGATGACTCAGGACACACTGGGGCACCCACCATTCTGGTGACTCCAGTGAAATCCAGGACTACATTAACACTGGAAGCAGGAAGGCACAAGTGACCCTGGAGGCAAAAGCAGGGAGGAAGAGAGCACCTGTGACACCTCTGGCAGAAGCTGTGCAAAGTGCAAAGTGGAAAGTGCTGGCTCTCAAATATAGCCCGTCAGCTCAGGAAAGAGAAAACAAAACCTTGTACTAAAGTGCCACCTACTGGAAAACAACAAAAGGCCTCTAATTACCAACTTGTTGAATTGTTAGAATTAAACCAAACTGTACCTAAATAAGAAAAGTGTTCGCTACTTCAAATGTGCCAGTAGAGGCACAACCCATCAAGCACCATGAATAATCATGGTATCACAAAAATAAAATGACAATCCTCCAGAAACCAAACTCAACGTCCTGGAAGATTGTGATCTACATGATAGAGAATGCAAAACAGCTGTCTTGAAGAAACTAAAGGAGATACAAGAAAACTCAGAAGCGCAGTTCAATGAACTCAGGAATAAAATAATGAACAGAAGGTGTGCTTTACAAGATACTGAAACTCCAAAAAATAACCAAACAAGAATTCTGGAACTGAAATTTCAATAAATTAGATGAAGAATGAATTAAAAAGCACTGGAAACAGAACAGACCAGATGAAAAACAGAATGAACGAGCTTGAAGATAGAAATCTAGAAATGATTCAGGTGGAAGAGCAGAGAGAACTAAGATTAAAAAAACCCACAAAACTGTGAGAACTATCCAGCTTCATCAGAAAGCGTAACATAAGAATAAAATTGACAGAAGGAGAAAAGAGGGAGAAAGGAACAGAGAACCTAGTTAAAGAAATAATAGATGAGAACCTCCCAAACCTGGAGGAGCCGGACATATAAGAAACTAATAGAAATCCTAATTATCTCAATGCAAACAAACAAAAACAAAAAAACTCCAACCCCTCATCAAAAACAAACAAACAAACAAACAAAACCCTTCTCTAAAACATATGAAAACTGTCAAAAGTCAATGATAAAGAAAGAATGCTAAAGGCAGCCAAGGAAAAAACCCAGTAACTTACAAAGGAGTCTCTATCAGGCTATCATCAAATTTCTAAGCAGAAACTCAACAGGCTAAGAGAGAGTAGAATGACATATTCAAAATATTAAAGGTAAATAAAGGCTTTCCCAGACAAAGAAAAGTTGAGGCAGTTCACCACAAGACCTGCCTGGCAAGAAATGTTGAAAGGAGCTCTCCTACCGGAAACAAAATGGCAAAAGTACACAAAACATTGAGTAAGATGATAAACAGAATCAGAAAACTGCAACTGTATTGTACAATACAGGGTTAAGCACTTAATTATAACATAAAGGTTAAAGGGGAAAAGTATTAAAAATAACTATAGCTACTTCAATCTTGAAAGGAACACTAACATAAAAAAGAATAATTTGTGACAACAAAAATATAAAAGGAGAGGAGAAAAAGGACGAAACTTACATAGACAAATGAAGATAAGATACTATCAGAAGAAAAAGGACTACTTTATCTATGAGACATTTTATATAAACCACATGGTAATCACAAAACAAAAATCTAGAGCAGAAATCCAAAACATAAAAAAATGAAGAAAATCGTATAAAACCACCAAACTAAAATAGCAGACAAAAATAAAAGGAAAAGAAACAATGGAAATACAGAGCAATCAGAATCTAAAAAATAAAATGGCAATAGTAAGTTTTCATGTATCAATAACTGCCCTAACTGTAAATGGACTGAACTAAACAATCGAAAGGTACAGAATAGCTGGATGCAGTAAAAAAGACTCAACTCTATTCTGCCTTCAGGAGACTCATCTCAACTTCAAAGAGAAACAAGGGCTCAAAGCAAAGGGATAAAAGATGATACTCTCAACAAATAGTATCCAAAAGCAAGTGAGTGTAGCTATAATTATATCAGACAAAATAGACCTCAAGCCAAAAAAAGGAAACAAGAGACAAAAATAGGTATTACATAACGATAAAGGAGACAATCCATCAAGACGCAATATATTTTAATATACACGCACTCAACTTGGGAGCATTAAAATATATAAAGCAATTATTAGCAGACCTAAAAGGAGTAACTGACAGAAATGCAACGGTAGTAGTAGACTTTAACACCCCACTTACATCAATAGGTAGATCAATAAGACAGAAAGTCAACAAGGGAACATCAGCCGTAAAGGACACATTAAATTGACTTAACAGATATATACAGAACATCCTATCCAAAAGCAACAAAATATACATTCTTCTCAAGTGCACATGGAACATTCTCAAGGATAGACACAAGTCTTAATTAATTTAAGAACAACATAGCAAGCAGCTTTTCTAACCACAATGGCATAAAAATTATAAATCAACTACAAGAAAGCTAAAAAAAAAAAATCACAACTATGTGGAGATTAAACAACATACTACTGAATAATTGGAGCAACAAAAAAAAAAAAATCAAGAAATACATAGAGGCAAATGATCAATACATGGAGGCATAATCAAGAAATACATGGAGGCAAATGAAAACATAACTACAACATACCAAAATCTATGGAATATGGAGCAAAAGAAGTATTAAAAAGAGAAGTTGATAGCAGTACAGGTATACTTTGGAGATATTGCCGGTTCAGTTTCAGACCACCACAATAAAGTGAGTTGTAACCTTTTTGCTGGTGGAGGGTGTTGCCTTCAATTTGTAAAAAATGCAACATCTGTGAAGCACAAAAAAATGAAGTATAGGCCTACCTCATGAAACAAAAAAAAAATATCAATCTAACCCTACATCCAAAGGAACTAGAAAAAGAACAAATGAAACCCAAAATCAGTAGAAGGAAGAAAAAAATCAGAACAGAAATAAATGAAAGAAAGACTAAAAAGACAATAGAAAAGATCAATGAAATTATGAGCTGGTTCTCTGAAATGATTAACAAAATGGATAAAACTTTGGCTAGACTCACTAAAAAAAGAGAAGAAGATAGAAATCTAGAAATGATTCAGGTGGAAGAGCAGAGAGAACTAAGATTAAAAAAACCCACAAAACTGTGAGAACTATCCAGCTTCATCAGAAAGCGTAACATAAGAATAAAATTGACAGAAGGAGAAAAGAGGGAGAAAGGAACAGAGAACCTAGTTAAAGAAATAATAGATGAGAACCTCCCAAACCTGGAGGAGCCGGACATATAAGAAACTAATAGAAATCCTAATTATCTCAATGCAAACAAACAAAAACAAAAAAACTCCAACCCCCTCATCAAAAACAAACAAACAAACAAACAAAACCCTTCTCTAAAACATATGAAAACTGTCAAAAGTCAATGATAAAGAAAGAATGCTAAAGGCAGCCAAGGAAAAAACCCAGTAACTTACAAAGGAGTCTCTATCAGGCTATCATCAAATTTCTAAGCAGAAACTCAACAGGCTAAGAGAGAGTAGAATGACATATTCAAAATATTAAAGGTAAATAAAGGCTTTCCCAGTCAAGGAA